CTTGTCTCTACAATCAGAAAAAGTTAGCCGGGTGTTGTGGTGCACTCCTGTGGTTCCAGCTACTTGGAAGGTTGAGGTGAAAGGATCATCTGAGCCCAGCAGGTCGAGGCTGCAGTGGCTGTGAGAGTGCCACTGCACACCAACCTAGGTGACAGTGAGACTCCTACTCAAAAAAAAATAAAACATCAAAATAATAGTTACCTCTGGGTAGGGTAATATTTGGAAATCAGTAGTAACTGACAAGAAATGGCTTCTAGAGAGCTGGTTATATATTCTTTCTCTATCTGGTGGTGGTTATAAAAGTATGCTTACTTTGTGATAATTCATTAAACGTATTTGTGCATTTTTCTGTATGAGTGATAAGTTCTTCAGTAAAAGACAGAGTGACTATTTTACTATATTAACGAGATTGAAAAGATATCTTGGTTGGGCATGATGGCTCACATTTATAATCACTGAGCTTTGAAAACCCAAGGTAAGAGGATTGCTTGAGGTTAGGAGTTCGAGATCAGCCTGGGCAACACCGCAAGATTCAGTCTATACAAAAAAATAAAAATAAAAAATTAGCCAGGCCAGGTGGTGCACACCTGTAGTCCTAGCTACTTAGGAGGCTGAGGTGGGAAGATCTCTTGAACCCAGGAGTTCAAGGTTATAGTGAGCTATGATCATGCTACTGCACTCCAGCCTGGGTAGCAGAGCAAGACCCTCTCTCAAAAAAAGGGGGGGGGGCAGAGACTGGGTGCAGTAGCTCATGACTGTAATCCCAGCACTGGGAGGCTGAGGCGGAAGGACTGCTCGAGTCCAGGAGTTCAAGACCAGCCTGAGCAACCCAGTGAGGCCTCGTCTCTATAAAAAAAAATTTTTTTTAAGAGACAGAAAATACAGCTACTTGAAAGGCTGTGACAGAAGGATCACCTGAGACCAGCAGGTCGAGACTGCAGTGGCCATGAGCACGCTACTGCACTCCAACCTGGACAACAGAGTGAGACTTCAACTCAAAAAACCAAAACAAAATTTTAAATGCTTCTCGTTGGGAAAGCTACTAACTCACTGTATCTTTCTATCTAAATCTATGGCAACAATTTTCAAACTATGTATCACAACCTGAGCTGCAGTGAGAAGTAGTCATCCACAGCAGGGGTCCCCAACCCCAATCAGTGGCCTGTTAGGAATTGGGCCGCACAGCAGAAGGTGATTGGCAGGCGAGTGAGTGAAGCTTTATCTGTATTAAAGCCACTCCCCATCACTCACATTACTACCTGAGCTCCGCCTCCTGTCAGATCAGCAGTAGCATTAGATTCTCATAGGAGTGGGAACCCTATCATGAACTGCACATGTGAGGGATCTAGGTTGTGTACTCCTATGAGAATCTAATGCCTGATGATCTGAGGTGGAGCTGAGGTGGTGATGATAGCACTGGAGAGCGGCTGCAAATACAGATTAACATTAGCAGTGAAGTCTGACTGCAAAAAGGCCTTAATAAATCAATTGTTTGCAGACTCATATCAATACCCTATCAGTGAATGGCAAGTGAGTTGATGTATTAATACTTCAAATGTACAGGTGCAGCTGATGGCAGGCTTTAAGTCAAAAATCTGACATTTATTTTAGTTAACGCATGGCTCACCCATTTTTTAATTTACCACTTCCATTCACACTTCTTTTTTTAAATGGTGAGTTGTATCATTATTTCATTATATATTACAATGTAATAAAAATAGAAATAAAGTGCACAATAAATGTTATACACTTGAATCATCCTGAAACCATCTCCCCTGTTTCCCCAGTCCATGGAAAAATTAACTGCCACAAAACCAGTCCCAAATACCAAAAAGGTTGGAGTCTGCTGATCTACAGGACAGTGACATTACCTACTTAATAAATGATTATATCTCACTTTCATTTTAAAAATGAAAGACAAAATAAGTCAATACATATGAGTTGAAAGTTTTTATGAAAATCACCTTTCTGTTCATGACCAGCCTAGGCAACACAGTGAGACCATGTCTCTACAATTAGCCAGGCAAAGTGGCACACGCCTGTAGCCCTAGCTACTCAGGAGGCTGAGTAGAAGGATTGCCTGAGCCCAGGAGGTCAAGGCTGCAGTGAGCTATGATTGCACCACTGCACTCCTGTCTGGGTGACAAAGAGAGACTCCAACTCAAATACTCTAAACAAATCGAAGAAAATCACCTTTCTTACACAGTTAACCCCGAAAAAGAAATTAAATGAACAATTTAAACTACTTTCATGGCTGGTCCAAGTGCAGTGGTGTTTACAGCTAATTGATCACAGCCAGTTACAGATTCCTTTGTTCCTTCTCCACTCCCACTGTCACACTTAACTAACCTTAAAAAAACAAACAAACAAACAAAAGCCATGTTTTTTTTATCAGGTCTCTTGGATCTATGATAGTCTCATTCTAAATATGAAAACACCATTCTTTATGTTTCTACTTTTGGATGAAAGCACTGAGTAAAGTAAGTCCCTTTGGTAGTTTTTTTGGTTGTTGTTTTTTTTTTTGCAGTTTAGCATTTATTAATAATTTATAATGGGCTGGTTATTCATATAACATATTTCTGCTCAAATTTTAATTCTGATCACTATATAACATGAATATTATCAACTTATTTATATTATTCAACAAGAACATTTTTTCTGCTAACATTGTAAATAAGATTTCTAACTAAATTTATAAGACAAGAAAATGAAAACTCTCTCTTGATCTGAGTGCTAGTTATATGTAAACTCAAATTGTAAAAAAAAAATCATCAATTTATATGCTTAAGAATACTTGCACTTTCCTGTATAATACCAGTAAGTTGGCTGGGGTCAGTAGCTCAGTCTGTAATCCCAGCACTTTGGGAGGCTGAGACAAGTGTATTGCCTGAGCCCACGGGTTTGAGACCAGCCCGGGTGACGTGGAGAGACCTTGTCTCTAAAATAAATAAAAAATTAGCCAGGCGTAGTAATGTGCACCTGTAGTTCCAGCTACTTGGAAAGCTGAGGCAGAAGGATTGCCAGAGCCCAGAAAGTCGACACCGGGGTGGCTATGAGTGTGCCACTGCACTCCAGCCTAGGCAACAGAGTGAGACTCCAATTCAAAAAAAAAAAAAATTCTGTAAGTTTTTTTTTTTACCTTTTGATTTTAAAATAAAGATTCATAGAAAGCTACAAAAGTGGTACAGAGAAGTATTACATACCCTTTACTCAATGTTTACATCTTTCAAAGCCACAGTGCCAGAAAGCTGACATTGGTACAGTGCACGTATACAATTCTATGCCATTTTACCACACGTGTAGATTGCTTAATCAGCATCACATTCAACATAAGAACTATTCTATCACCAAAAAGATCTCCTTCACACTACCCCTTTACAGTCAAATCCATTCTTTTCCCTACTACTATCTCAACCCTGGGAAACCACTAATCTATTTTTCATCAACGTAATGCCCTTGAGATTCACCCAAACTGTTGCCAGTATCAACAGTTCATTATTCCTAGTTTGATTCTATTGTGATCAGAGACCATACTCCGTACAATTTCAATTCTTTTAAATGTGTTGAGGTTTATTTTATGACCGAGGATACAATCTATCTTGAAAAATGGTCCACTGGTACTTGAAAAGCACATGTATTCGGCTGCTGCAGACTAGATATGAGCATATATAACCAATTATAAACACATATAAGAATGTTAGACGGATACATTGCACTGCAGACTATTGAATATTGTATAAAATATTGTATACATAGTGTGCTTAAGCAGAATTAGCTTCTTCCTAATACTGTAGATAAATTTATGTATGAACCTTTAATCATCATCTATACTCACCAAAGAGTTTTAAAAGATTAAAGTCTGTTAGTCTATAAAATTGAAACTGCTATTGGAAATAACAAGAATAAAATGTTGATTACTTGAAGAAACTAGGTCTATACTTATTAACAAAACCTCTAAACAATAAAAATGTCTGGAATAGGGCATGTGAGAAAAGTTACTATTATTATTATTATTTTGGCTACATGAGCTAAGAAAGGTTTTCTCCCAATTCAAAGTATTTAACAGTACAAAAACAAATAATTCCTGTGGATTACGGAAAAATTTAAAATTATTTTTGCTAACTCATCTTAAGTCAATGGAAAACTAAAACATTTCTGCCAAGTCCTAATACATTAATAAAATATTTGCAGCCAGGCATGGTGGCTCATGCCTATAATCCCAGCACTTTCGGAGGCTGAGGCAGGAGGATCACTTGAGGCCAGGAGTTTAAGACCAGCCTAGGCAATATAGTGAGAACCCCCATCTCCACAAAAAAATATATTTTAAAAAAGAAAAGAAAATACATGCATTTTACAAAGTATGCCTAATAGAACTAAATGACAGATAATCTCAATTGACTTCAAAATCCATATTCTTCAGAAACTTAGTTATTGTAGTTGTCACATTACTTAAAGTATTTTAAATTATAATATTTTAAAATTTAAGAAAAAGCTTAAAGACAACTATTAGTGAGAAGCAGATTCTTCATAAGTCAATCTTATATAAGTTATCTTACTTTCTTTTTTCTTTTTTTTAATTTTTTTCCCCCTGCGTTGGCTTTATTCCAATGAAATATTTATTTGTAAGTTAATTTTTCTCTAAATACACTCTAAAATAAATTCATAAGAATTGATTTTTAGAAAAAACAGATGTTACCTACCATAATTACCAAACCTTGTGACTCAATTTATTCCTGCCCTGAAGTGTTTAGAAAGAGTCAACGACCTTACTTCCATAAGCAACAAAAACAGTAAAGACATTCCACTGGGGGGAAAATGACTTCCTGTAACATGAACAATTACCTCTAATTATTCTGTTTAGGATTTGTTATTGTTTCCTAAAACATACCATGTTTTTTCTTAAGGCAGAGCACACATATATTCCTATTTTCTTCTATTCCTGTATGTTCCACATATTGGCTGCCTTTCAAATATAAGTAGTAATTACTGTCTTTTCATACCTGATGGAGGCATCATCATCCTACGGTCCTGCTCCCATGGAGGTGACAGGGACCCAGTGTCAGAAGGTGCCCTATGAGAATCAGTTAACCTATCATGGCTTGACTCTCCTCTTTCACTGGTAATCTGATGGTCCAGAGAATTCCCTGGGCCTCTTGAGCCTAATTAAAGAAAAAAAAAATACAAATTTGTCTCATCTTAAAAAGTATTATGAAACCTATCATCAAATAAAATAATGATACTCAAAAAAGTGAAATAATCAGATTCCAACAAAGTTTCCCTAAGATATATTTAGACTGTAATTCTACTGTACCAAAGCCATTTCCAGTACAAGAGAAAAATAATTTTGCCACATGCGTAAACAAATACTTGCCTATAAAATTCATTTTTAAATGTTATCACCACTATTGTCTTACACATAAAATCAGTGATTCAATGATAAATTACAATACTAAATCAGAAAAATAAGAGTGTAGAAAGTAAATTGCTATAAAGATTTCTATACCAGATGTAATTATAAAATGAGATTTTTGTTGCTTAAATTAATATGTCAATAGTCAAAATGAGCATGAGTCACATCTTAGGGGTTATACACTATTTTAGTAACCTAGCTACTATTCAAAACATTTTTTAGAATATCTCTTTTGGAAATGTACTCAAATGAACTTAAAGCCATGCAAAAAATTACATCTCATTGAGTGGTGTTAAGAGTTAATAATAAGCCGGGTTCGGTGGCTCAGCCTGTAATCCCGCGCCTTTGGGAGGCTGAGGTGAGTAGATTGCCTGAGCCCGCGGGTTCAAGACCCGCCTGGGCAACTTGGCGAGACCTCATCTCTACAATAAATCAAAAAAATGAGCCAGGCGTGGTAGCGCGCACCTATAATTCCAGCTACTCGGAAGGCTGAGGTGGAAGGATCACCGGAGCCCAGTGGGTCAAGGCTGCGGTGGCCAGGAGCAGCCACTGCACTCCAGTCTGGGCGATGGAGTGAAACTCCAACTCAAATAAATAAATAAATAAATAAATAAAAGAGTTAATAATAAAATAATAATAATTTTTAAAAAATATGGTTCAAGCCTGTAATCCCAGCACTTTGGGAGACCGAGGCGAGAGGACTGCCTGAGCCCAGGGGTTCGAGACCAGCCTGGGCAACTTAGTGAGACTATGTCTCTATAACACATCAAAAAATTAGCCAGGCATGGTAGCATGTGCCTGTAGCTCCGGTTTCTTGGAAGGCAGAAGCAGAAGGATCACCTGAGGCCAGCAGGTTGACACTGGGGTGGCCATGAATGTGCCACTGCACTCCAACCTGGGCGACAGAGTGAGACTCTGACTCAAAAAACAAAATAAAAAATACTCCTGTACCAAAATTATTTTAATCAACCTGATTAAAAACTTTAGACACACTAGATAAGTTTGGCTCTAAGTGGCTTTTAGTAATTTCCAAATATCAAAAATCACATTCATAAAGAGAATTCAAACTTAACTTGAAGACAAGCCTAAAAGAAGAATTTCAAAAATGACAGCATTATTGAAATAGACAGTCTTTAAACAAGGTAACATTCATTTGGATAAGAAAATCTGCTTTGTTTACATTTATGAATAGAGGGGAATCATTTTAAAGTTCCCTTCTTATGATCACAAAAAAGTTAATACTGTAATTAAAATTAAACTCATATTCGACTTAAATGGGAAAATAAAAAATATTTTAAGCATTCAATAACAAAACATATTAACACCTCATTTATCTATCACTGAGGGGGGAATGAGGTATTCTCAAAATTATATTGCCCAGGAAACAAACACTTATTTTTCTCAATAGCTTTAAAAATTTTTTGATCAATAGAAGTCTAACTAAAATGCTTCCCCCATTTCAGTGACTCTTTTAAGAAAAGAGACCATAATTAATTGTACCTTTTTGTGATAAGTTGTACAAATCAGGATAAGCCTTCATTTTTTTTAATATAGAGTAATTTTCTTAAAAATTTTCCTAACTACTCCCTTTTGCAGGGTCAGGTCAACTGGCTTTTAAGTCAGGAGGTCAACTACCATTTTCTTTATTGTTATACATCCTACTAAATTCCCCAAATGTTTCCTTCTAGCTTCTTCATCCTTCTAATTATAATTAGTTCATTAGAAGAAGGAGATTGGGAAAGCAGAAAATATGCAAGAGTCAATTAGGTTGAGTTTATCTGGAGTGAAGCACAAACACTTAAAGGAGAGATTCAAAGGTTTTCTACTGATTGCTTACTTCCAGAGGACCAAAACTACACTCCAACTGACTACCAGATGGAAGTCACAAATCTGAAAATGCTAAAGGTTAAACTTTTCCATTCAGATCAAAAGTTACATTCAATTTACTATTAGAAGAAATTGTTTCCTTTTACTCAATATTATTCAAACATGGCACTCATCCAAACGTCAAATTGAAAAATGATAATAAAAGAAAGGGAGGATGATAAAGGGTACTCTTTCTCCTTCTTCACTGGGTCATAGAAACTTTCAGTACAAAGCAGCCATGTAAGTTAAGACTGGCTGATAACTTACCTAGAACTTCTGTAGCTTTTTTTAACAAATAGGAAAACACCTTTGCAAATAATTTAAATACATTGTATCTTAAAAGCAATTAAACAGGAGAAGAAATAGAAGAGGAGAAATCAAAGGCAATTTTTACTCTCATTTCAAATATTCAATTGACTACAAGCAATCCTTGACTTCGGTAATTCAACTTCCAAGGATTCATATTTGCAGTTTAGCCAATTATACACTATTTCCAGGATACTGCTTTTTCAGACTGCTAGCTGCTAGCACAGTCTGAGAACATTTATGATATGTGAAATTTAAAAAAGAATGCTTTAATGAAATGAAATAAGACAAAATAAAATATCAGAAAGTATCAAAACTGTAATGGTAAGTACTATTTCATGCAACTGGTTTCCATTATATTCATGTTGGTATATATTATGACATGATATAAAAAATATTTCTTACTGTAAGTCAAGATTTAAAAATTGAGGGGGAAGAAATGGATTTAGGGAACTAAGCTCTAAGCAGACATGAATTTCAAAATTAGTCCCTTTCCTAGAGTGCTCAATGCAAAGTCCAAGGGCTCCAAGTATCAGTAGTTCCTTTCCCAAGGAGTTTTTAGTTAAAAACCAGCACAGTTCTCTCCGAGGGGAACCCAGGCTATGGACTTAATCTATAGGAGGACTAAGAAGTAGAAAGGAACACTTCTAAGTGAAGCAAAATGAGGATGAAGATATAAACAGAAACTGGAAAAAAGTAAAATATCTCACAACCATAAAGTAGAAAGTTCATTTTCTCATATGCTTTGAAGGCAATTCCTAAGGGAAGTTTCCAAAAATATTTGAAATAATGGCAGCTTCAACTAAGAAATACACAGACTTCCTAAGATACTATTTAGATAAGTAATAGTCATTTGAGTGTATATACTCTGGTATGTTGGGTTTAATCTGGTGTTTTTATTCAGTCTCATTACTTTATGTTCCTACCTCAAATTCAATCTGTTAATGTCACTGATAAAAAGGAAACACTTCAGTGGTGAAGAATGTCAACAGCTCTTATAAAATTCAGGCTTGGGACTAAAAACCTAAAACTTCTGATTTGGGAATAATAGGGCTCTGTATCTTTGAATTTCACCACAAGTCAAGGGAAAACTTTAAAGCAACATGACAAAGAAAGTATGGTGAGATAGCAAAAGAGGAAAACTCTAGGCACAAAGGAGTTTTCAAAGGCCTAGCACCTTTTGTAACTTCAGGGTAATCCTGATGAGATAAATACAGAAAGACCACAGCTAATGCTTATGCTTGAGGCAGCTACAGAAATTCTCAACAACATATAAGAGAGGAACAAAGCAGACAATCCAGAGTTGGTTTCTCAAAGTATTATTAATGATTTTAGATCACAGAAAGGTTTGCAACAAAACTCTGCCTAGAGAGCACTTCTGACTTCCTTGACCATAAAAAAAAATTTTTTTTTAATTCTATATTTCAATGTTTAATCAAAATACAATTTTATCCTAGCACAGTTATACTCTTATTGTATTTTTGGTAATAAAAAATTTATACTGTATGCTTTATAAAATTTTATATTATGTAGCATAATAGTTTTCAAGAAGTTAAAAATGTGGTTTTCAAAGATATGCATTAAGTCTCTGGTCAATAATCTGATCTGTAATTTGGTATAACATGGTTTCTAAGAGAAAAATATAAACAAATTAAATGTCATAGAGCTTCTTTAGAAAAAAAAAAGGAACCCACAGTAAGTGCAAGGAATGCCTGTATTTTCCAAATGTTTATTTTACAGATCATTTTAAAGATAAGTTGAGATGAAAACATAAAGTAAGGAAGAAATCTAGAGTAATAAAGATGTTTAAACAATATACCTCTTCCTCCTCCCCCTGGAAGCAAAGGTGAAAGTCTGAGTGGACCCTCCAACAAAGTTGGAGGAGAGAGAAAAGCTCTCGTTTCAGATGAAGGCCGGCCCAATGGTGAGGGACCATATGGGGAATGCTCTGGAATAATTAAAACAGCATATTTAAATTCATAGTTTCAGTTAGCTATAGAGTTAGAATCCCACTTCAACAATTACCATCAGGACATCCTGTTGCCATTTTCAGTTTAATCCATGTTCTGAACATTTCCTTCGGTTTTGCTAATATAGAATATAATTAAATACGGAGCCCGGTATTTTTAAAGTCTGTCTATCAAACAGACAGTTTAAACAATAAAAATATTACCCTAGTGGTAATTAACAAATTTCAATAACCATACATAGTAAGCAAAGGGTATTGGTGATATATTTTAGTGTCATAAGAGGATTTGGGGTTTACAGAGTTTAACTTGTTTTGTTTTGTTTTTAATAGCAGTAAGCTTCTAGACATTTCAGTTGGTTAGACATTTCAGGGTTGCAATATGTAAGTGCTCAGTTTAAATAAGGGCCAGATAGATTATGTTAGGCCATGAACTGCTTGAGTAAAGCTGATTCTGAAAAGTAGAAAAATGCATAAAATATTCTGAAGCATCACAAACTACTTTTGATTCATTACCAGTGGTAAGTCAGTTTGCAAATATTTGTTCATCAAATAAATTACCTTATCTATAATTCATATAATCAAGAGCCATATCATTTGAAAAACGTCACCACTCTCAAATAATGGTGATGCTTCCAAGTCAAAAACCAACAACAAAAAACAATGAAACTTAAACATCACCAAAATAACACTTTTAAAACATGATACATTTTATTGAGTATAGCTGATATAATATTCAAATCAGTTACAACAAAAGAATAAAGCATTATTTACCCCCCTGAAACTTTGCATTGGGTTCAGACAAAAAGATCCTTTCTGTATATGTCACCCACTCCAAATTTTGTTACTACTTGAAATTTGTAATAATTTGATATTTTTACAATGTAGAAACAGACTTTCATTTTAATGAAATTTTACTCTCAAAAGTGATTTTTACAACTTTCCAAAGATTACTAAAATGGGGTTCTAATCTATATACCTATATATATATATATATATATATTTATTTTCACTGCCTCAGACGTTTAATTCCAATTCAACCAAAATTATTATAAAAAATTTAAACTATTTAGAATAGTTTGAGATTATTAAGATGCTAACTCAATATTGAATAGATGGGAATATTAAATACATCTTACAAAAACTTGGCTCTCCCTTGGAGGTAATTAAGGCAAACAAAACTTACTAAATTTTTTCCACCTTTTAAACTGATACCCTTAAATAATTAAAAACTATTTTCATTCTCATTTTCATAATTCAACAAATGCCAAAGTACAGTTAATATGTAAACAGTCATAATACTACTCCATTTACACACTCCTTATTCATTCATTCTCCCAAAAATTAGTCAATGAGTACCTTACTATGTGCCACACACTTGACATTTTAAGGTTGAAGGTACTAAATATACATTATCTTACAAAATCTCACTGAGAAATGGAAGCAGCAATAATTTTCATTATTGCTGGGGAAAGAAAACCCAGAAGCAGCAGTTTGTAAGTGAGTTTAGGCTAGAACCTTGATTCTAAAATCGAAATTATTTATAAATAATAATGTTATAAATAATAATGTTAATTTACACTAATATAAAATATATGCACAGCATATATATATACACACACACACACATATATGGGGAGAGAGAAAGAGAGAGGATATTTTTTAAATGAGGAATTAAAAAAAAAAAAAAGACTACCTCTGCCAAATGCTGTATTTGGAACATCAAGTGCATAAGGATCCTTTTCTAAAAGTTCAAATTTAAACTCTGTTTCAGTTAATCTGCAAATAAAGAACAAACATCTCTAAGTTACTCATCCAAGGGAAGCACTCACATGTCAAGAAAAATGTCACCACCAAGTTCACGCTACTCTTCACTATTTCAATATTGGCACGAAAGAAGCAGGTCCTCTGAAATTATTCTAACCAAAACAACTTTATCTCCTACTATTTGTTAACCGAGATAAAAGGTTTCTTGTTGACTAGGGATAGTGATGTTTTGCTGAGGTTTGGAAATGTCTGGTTTCTTCTTCAAAACTAGACTATCATGAATACTGTATCACAGAATCCAAATTTTCTAAATAGAAGAGTCCTCCAAGGTCAACTAGTTCAAAGCAGAGTCCTCCAAGGTCAACCAGTTCAAGTCTATCATTTTACAACTAAGGAAACTGAGGGCAGGAATTTAAATGACGTATTCAAAAATCAAAGTGTCAGGATTTTTAAAAGGGTCCCTGGCTCCATTAGTATATGCTTTCTATCGCAATGTGATGCATACGATTCAAGTTGTAACATAAAATTAGAAATCCCAGCACTCACCCTATTTTACTCCTAAACCTTTTATCTTAAAAATGTGACTCTTTAAAATAATCTTATTTCTAGCTCTTTACCATCAGATCTGAAATAAAAAATTTAATCATTTGATTTTAATTTCTGCGAGTAGAAAAGAAAAGCCAAGAGGACACAACTAATATTGGTTTATGTTAATAGTACATTGTGGCAAAAAACTATAACACTCTGGAAAGACTGTTACCATCTTTACAGAAAAGCACTTACTCTTCCCTGCTATATTATACACTGTACTCTTTTATTCTTCCTTTCATCTTATTACTTTTGCAGTAATAAGATGAAAGGAAGAATAAAAGAGTACAAAGTATAATATTGTACTCAATAAAACAAAACCAGGGAGTGAGAGAGTTAATAAACATGTATTCTTATCTACTCATCCATGAAAAGATACTGATTCTCTGAGCATTATTATGTCAAAGATTCATCCTTTCTCTTTCCATCTATTTTTAACTCTCTCCATCTATACTAGTTAAAAAAAAAAAACTTAAGTTACATTTTTTTTTTTTTTTTTTTGAGTTAGAGTCTCACTGTTGCCCAGACTGGAGTGCAGTGGTCGCTCCCGGCCACCGCAGCCTCAACCTGCTGGGCAATCCTTCCACCTCAGCCTTCCAAGGAGCTGAAACTACAGGCGTGCACTACCACACCCGGCTATTTTTTTTTTTTATTGTAGAGATGAGGTCTCGCCTGCTCAGGCGGGTCTCGAACCCGCGGGCTCGGCAATCCACTCACCTCAGCCTCCCCAAGGTAAGTTACATTTTTTAACAGAAAAATCTGTGAACAGTTTCCTCCAGTGCCATTTCAGTGACCCCTCTAAGTACTTCAAACAAAAAAACTAGTCACTCCTTGTAAAACTAATAGATACTTAGTCACTCCTTGTAAAACTAATAGATACTTCACAACAAGATATGCTGGATTCACCCCAAGTTTTCTTATTTATCCTTATAAAGTTATTACCTAATTCATAAAATAACTAACAATAAGAATAATAACTAACTTAAAGTTTTTAAAGTGTTCCTGCTAAGATACTTACTTTTGTCTGGTGTGAGCATTTTCTTTCCTTAAATCATTGAGATTTCTTTCAGCAGTTCGAGCTGCCAACTTCAAGAAAATAACACATTAAAAAAATTCATTTATACAGATTTAAAATGAAATATAAGCATGAATATAACAATGATAATATACAACTATCACAATCACTTAAGTATTCATTTCAGTAAACATTATGTAGCATGAAAGGAGAAGATGTGAACCTAAAGCTGGAATTTAATTGTGTACTTGCCAATGAATATTGCTATTTTGATGTAAAATAACATAAGAGCTATGTAACAGAATGCAAACTAGAGCAATGACAATGGAAACTCATGGTCATTATGCACTAAAGCATCCACTATGGAACAAGGAAATCATTTCTCTGGATAGGAATCACTATAATTTTGTGAAGCCATAAAGGTCTAACTAGCTTCACAGGATGCCAGTACAGAACATTTTTCAAGATAGCTGAATAGAAGCAATGCACATTGTATATTATTATGTGGGATCATACAGATCATATTCCTGTGAGTCTTTTACAACATTTATTTAATTATATTTTTATTTAATAAAATATAAGCCTAAAATTAGAGTGTGTATGTCATAGAAAACAAATCTGACACTTATAATAAATACCAAGAACATGCAATATTTCCAAATAGCTGTGGGCAAAGGTTAAAGTTGTATGGTGTTCTACATGTTTCCCAGTCATTCTGTGGCCTCTGAAAGGCAGATGCAACAGTGTACATCTGAACACCAGATTGGTCAAACCAAAGTAGTCCACTAGGGTAAATACATCTATCATACAAAGGCAGGTAAGTTAACTTATTCTGCAACCATAACTCTTTACAAGTAAAAGGAACTGTACTATCAAATTTGTGTTCACTGAAAATTGTGAACACAATTTAAGAACTGACTTTAACTGGCCAAAGAATAAATTATACAAATGTTAACGAAAAGTATAGCTTACACATATTTCAGCACTATGATATGAGAAAAGATTCCAGGTATGTATCTTTTTCCAATATGTAATCACAGAATCAATTTTGTACTAACAAAAAAGAATGTTATACCAGTAACAATTTTAATTAGTAAAATCTACCAATTTGTCAACAATGCAGACCCCAAATTACTTCTAAATGTTTTCGACACAGTATAGTAAGTTCAACACATTCATTCTTAAGTATAAGGCACAAAAAATCATAATTAGTAAGCTATCAATATTTAAAATGCTACTCTCTCTCTCTCTCTCTCTATATATATATATATGCATAAAGTGATGGCAAACGATTACAGACTTCTGAAAAGCTTACTCCCAAAGGTTATGTAAAAAAGTAACTTCAGTGAACAAACTGTTTCCTAATATTGCATTCAAATATTAAATACTTACAATATGCAAAGCTTTCTGAAAGGGCACGTGTTAAGGGGAAAAAAACTAGTCCCTATCGCATGGAGCTTAAATATTGTGGTAAGGACACACATAAATGACCATAGTAAAGAACAGAATACTTGTCACAGGACACAAAGTACTATATAAGTGCAAAAAAAGAAAAGATTAAATCTAACAGGATAGAGGGAATAAATGCTCAATGGAAAAAGTATAATGGTAAAAATTATACTTTTACCAGTATCATGGGTAAAAACTATAACAGTAAAAAAGCAAAAACTGGCTAGGTGCAATGGCTCACACCTGATAATCACAGCACTTTAGGAGGTCGAGGCAGGAGGACTGCTTGAGCCCAGAAGTTTAAGACTAGTCAGGGCAACATAGAGAAACCTTGTCTCTACAAAAAAAAAACAAAAAATTAGCCAGGCATGGTGGCACACACCTGTAGTACCAACTTCTTGGGAAGCTGAGGTGAAAGATCTCCTGAGCCCAAGAGGTCAAGCCTGTGGTGAGCCATGATCATGCCACTGCACTCCAGCCTGGGTGACAGAGTAAGACTTCAACTCAAAAAAAAGAGGAGAAACTAACAGTTTATCAAATAAGAAAGGTTTTTATAAACTATGAAACAGAGATCTATGATATATTAAGTTTAAAAAACAGGTTATAAACTGTCAGATATAATGATTCCTTTTTAAAACATATATATATGCTTTTATGTCTAAATGCAATCCAAAAAGTATGGGGTAAATGAAAGGTAATTGCACCTTTCTAATGTTTTTAACCATTAGTAATGAGTACATAATATTTTTATAAAATCTGAAAGCTATCTTTTCTCTGAGACATAAAGGTATTTTCTGCACATTTTTTTAAAATGATTTTTTTATTACACTCCCAACCCTCAAATCTCTAAAGTTGCCCACCCATGCTGGAGTCAATCATCCAGAGCCTTGAGGACTCAACTCAATCAGTCTGGGTTCTGTCTGACTGGGTGATTAGTTCCTTGACTTTTTTCCCTGAAATATAGGTTAAACTCTGTGTTACCACTTGACTTTCAGAAACTAACATGGGCCTCTCCTACTAACTCACTTCTGCCCAGATCCCAGAGCCTCTTCCCAAGGGTAATTCAGCTCTGGGGTGTATGACAAGTCACTCTCTTTCTCTCTACCAGTCCCACCATTTACTTCCTTTGAAACTCAGCTTAAAACACACCTTACACATGGAGCTACTCCCAGGTGACCCACTCAATATATAATTCTTTAGTTTTTGGTTCCTTGATTATTCCTGCCCTACACTCTGCCATTAGAACACATTAGAACACCATTATTTCCTGGTGTCACCTGGCTGTCCTTGGGTATTTCCAGCTGCTCAACTGTCTCTTTGTAGCCTTCACCCACATTGCCCAGCACAACATTTTGTGTCTTTTATGAAATTTCACTTAATATACAGGAGTTGAGGGATAGGTGTAGAAATGCTGCCCCTGGGGCTTAGCTTATCCCCTTCTTTGCCATTGTGTTGTTGGCTTGTTTGTTTTTATTCTAGTCTTTGCAAGGCAAAGTCTCTGTAGATCTGTAAGATGTTTCTGCTGCCCTTCCTAAAACACCCTATTTGCCATCTTGCCTTGGGGCTGTGTATAAACCTCATCATCTTTAAAAATAATCTACATCTGTCTGAATGAAACGTAATTGTACACCTAACCCTTAACTGTACCCCACAAAACTATAATAAAAATACTGATTAATTTAAAATAAAATTAAAAAAAAAAAAAAAAAAAAAAATAATCTACATCTAAGTATTTAAAAAGTGATGCGGGATGGGCACAGTGACTCATGCCTATAATCCCAGCAATTTGACAGGCAGAGGGGAGAGGAATGCCTGAGCCCAGGGGCTCAAGATCAGCCTGGGCAATTCGGCAAGACCTTGTCTCTTCAATAAACCAAGAAATTAGCCACAAACGATGGCGCATGCCTGCAGTTCCAGCTATTGGAAGGTGAAGGAGAGAGGATTGCCTGAGCCCAGCAGGTCAAGACTGTGGTAGTGGTGAGTTTGCACTCCAGCCTGGACAGAGTGAGACTCCTACTCAAAATAAATTAAAAATAAATAAAAAGTGGTAAGGAGTAGTTAAGAGGGCTAAATTCATCTCCAAGCACAGCTACTTAAGTAACAGATCCTCACTTGAACCCTCAATACCAGAGCACACAGAATCTTAGAATTGGGAAATTCCTAGACATTGAACATATCTAAACTCTCACCCTGTGCTGGAATCGTCACTCCAACACACCTAAGAAACATCTACCAAGCTTCAGTATATCAATGATAATAGCAGTACTTATTCAGAATATGGTGTATGTCATGCATTTGGCAACAACTTTACATAAATTATCTTATTTATTCTTCACAATAACCCTATGAAATAGGTACTATTGGCATCTGCCTTATAGATTAGGAAACTGGAGGTAGATAAGGGAACCAGGACACCAGCCAAGACAGGCTAACTCCAGACCCCATGCGTTCACCCACTGTGTAAATTGCCTTCCTTGAAGATTCCTAGTGACAGGTACTCCAAAGGCCAGCTAGTATAAAAGCACCACATATTAGAGAGGTTTTTCTCATAACTAGTAAACTATGAATCCTACCACTTTCTCATACAGTCAGTTCGTCTGGGGCATAGACATATTATTTCTCATGATGGCCTTTTTCCTAATGTGTACCAAGTAATTCAACACTGAGAATCGGGTAACAGAATTGTATGACTCAGAACTAGAGGGGCTATAGATATCACTTAGTCTAATCCTACTGCTTTACAAATGAGCAAATAGGCACAAAGAATTTTAAGCAGTTTCTCCACAACTAATTACTGCCAATCCAGTGCTCTGAAACAATGAACCTATGAACATTATATCACCTCCCCCAGAAAGTATAAACTCCAGTCAAAGAAGCAATGTGCTAAAAGCAGAGAAGAAAAAAAATCAGACTTTGTGAATAACTGTATTGTAACAAAGTATTTAGTTAACAAGGAACACACTTTCACTACCAGTGAAATTAAACTGATTTTCACCTAATTTAAATAAAAAGTATATATCTTCTGAAATGAAAAAGCACAATTTGATTTTTTTTAAAAAGTCTTAAGGAAATTTAAAACTTACCCAATTATCATGTGCTTTTTTCTCATGGGACATAATCTGAAAAAGAAAGTCATTAAAATACCACTGACAGCTGCTTTTCTTAAGTAGAAAACATTCACACCTATCACTATGATTTAGTGAGCAACTCAAAAATACCCCAAGCATCTCTGAAGAGTAAATAAGCAGCATTTTTAAAGAAAATTTCCCCATGTGTACATAATCTACACTATTATACTTTAAAACAAAAGCTGAATATAGACAATTAAAATTTGCCTAGTAAGCTTCTACTTTACGCAATAATTAACTGCAACAGGAGTTGCCAGTTAACAGAAAACTAAGCTGACTAAATATAAGACTGCATCACTGATACATGTTTATTTATGAAATATAATTCATTCCCAAAGCAGCAGGAGGCATGGCAACTTTAGATTTCTTATCCCAGAATCTCTGGCTCCCTGAAAATGTTTGACAGACAAACGTAACACCTTAAGAAAGGTATACAACTGGTCAAGTAATTATATTCCTGCATCAATTCATACAAATCAGAATTGTTTTAAATTGCACAACACAAACACACACACATGCACACATACATACCTGCCCTTGATAAGAATGAATGGTTCTCTCCAATTCTTCTTCAAGATCTTTGACTCGCTTTCTAAATGAAACACATAATTATTCTATTAACATATAATAAGAAAAGACAGAGCACACTCTCTACTTAAAAATATTAATTAAAACACCCAGAAAGCTCTATTTCATTTACATATTATGTAAACAATAACTCCAAAACTCCACATATTAAGAAATAATCACCTCTGAGAAGTTCTAAAATATATTTTTTTCCTAATCTAATTTTAACACTTAGTACACCTTAAGGGTACTATTACTTGGGTTTACCTAAACCAAAAGTCATGCAAAAATTTATATGGCATATTAGATTTTTATTCTTAAGAAGCATGATCCTGAAAGGTTTATTGAGGTGGCTGTAATCTTAATAGTATTCTAGGAAATTAGCAACATTTGTGAAATAAAGTGTTACTTATACCTTTAAGAGACTAACAAGATAATTACTTCTTTTGGAAGGAATTATCCCAAGCTTGTTTTTCCTAAGGTAAAATGAAGTATCACAACTATGTGGGATATTACTGAACCTTGCCCCTTTTTAAAACTAGGTCTTCTATTATTTCTTTGAATCTAGTGAGGATCAAAACAAGGTAAAAAATAAATTAGGCCACACTTTCATCTGAGTGTCAGCTCCCTTGTCAATCTGTGAAAAGCGAATAATAAACTTTACTTCCTTCTACTTCTTCAAAAAAAGTAGATTTATAGTCCTATAAACACTTCCATTAATCGCATACATGTTTCCCAACTTGAATCACAGGAAAGACCTTGAAATTAATGCTTTTCATAAACTTATTGATATTAACATAAAATAGGATTGCCCATATTCAACTAAGATTTAAAAAGCACACACTCTGAAAGAAACCTATTTTTCCTTTTTTATTTTCTGTATATTTGCATAACAGTAAGAAATCTAAATGAAAAGTAATGAAACAAAAATTTTATTTTTGGTTAATTTATTACATTTTTCTGTTATTAAGTTTTTAGATACCTTTCCCATTCCTAAATGAAAGGCGGAAATTTAATACCTATAGGTCTCCAGCTCTTCAGCAGCATAGCTGATCTTTTCATCTACTTTGGAAAGTTTCTCCTCTTTCTCTAACCGGTAATTTTCCTCAACTGTTAATTTCCTTAAAACAAAAAGTGTTTTAATTCTTTTAATACATGTCATAAGATAATCAATTTTATGGTTTTAACTGTATCAAAACCGGTGCTTCCAATAAAACAATTTCTGTACTACCACTAAAAACATCAAGAAAAAAACATGCAAGAAAAAAGTACCTGTATATGTATTCCTGGTGTGGAACGAAATATTATAAACTTACACTGCAAAGTATCATGTATAATACAGTACTACTCATATAGTAATTTCAAGAGTTTTCTACATAAATTTATCATGTAATTAGATTATCAATGATAAATATTAATAACAATGATTATATTCACTGATCAAGCTTTCCTGCATAAAGAAGCATTACATTTACTAGACAAGAAATCACCAATTAATGAACTGTTTTTCAATAACTTTTAAATTAGTTGTTAAACAGTGATTAGGCCTCTAGACCATGTCACCAAAAAAAAAAAAAAAAACCAAAAAAACCAAACTTATAATGAACCAAAAGTAAATAATAGTAGTAGTCCTATTTACTATTTGTAGATCTAATTAATAACAGATAACGTATTGAGCCAATAGTATGTACCAGAAACTGCTCTAGGCTTTCACAAGTATTATCTTATTTAATTACTACAACAGGTCTACAAGAGGGACACTATTGTTATTCCCATTTTACAAAAATGAAGCACACAGAAACAAAATAATTGAACCAAGATACAGTGCTCACAAGTAGTGATTCCTTTATACTATAATACCCATGTTGTTTTGCATAGTATCATCAATAACAGCGGTCCCTCAAGAAATATTTATTGAACCCCAAAGGAAAACACATTTGAAGTCCTAAATGGATATCTTCCCTCCTTCATGAACTTTGAGAAGCATGACAAACTATCAAAGAAGTCCTACAGGGTGGCAGCAAATGCTTTATCTTTATATTCTATACCCTACTGCTTAGAAAGCACTCCTTCAAGTCAATCATTCCATAGATGCTCTAAGAAAACAAAAGCCATCTCCTTAGAAAAGGTATGAAAATACAATGGGCATGGGTATGGAAGAGAAATATGTTTTTACAGACTGTATAGATTTAAGATGGCCAGAAATTCTTTGACACCCTTCCCGTTAAGAGGGAAGTCTATGTACCCTCCCTGAATTCGGGAGGGCCTATTAAAGAAATAAATTACACGGTGAAAGGAAACTCAATTATTATAACTAAAAACAATAATACTTTATTTCACATACTTAAAACAACTCACCAAACTTTCAGGTCCTACCATTTCATCTCTCGCCAGTATTAAATTTGGAAAAGTGCTAGTAATACCACCTATCAGTCATGAAAAAACATCTAAAAAATGACTGAACCTAAATTTAACATTTTACTTGTACTATAAACTCTATTCTCATCTGAAGAACTACCAGTGGCATAATTCATTGAACTTGAGTAGCAAATAGCTTATTTAAATGTAAGAATGAAATATATATTTCAGAAATTTAAAACATTTCAACCAGGTCTGGTGATTCACGCCTATAATCCCAGTACTCTGGGAGGTGGAAGTGAGCGGATTGCCTGAGACTAGGGGTTGAAACCAGCCTGAGCAACTTGGGGAGATCTCATCTCTACAATAAATCAAAAAATCAGCTGGGTAGGGTGGCACACGCCTATAGTTGTAGTTAGCAATAAAAGGCTAGGGCAGAAGGGTCTCCTGAGTCCAACAGGTTGAGGCTGCGGTGGCCATGAGCGAGTCACTGCACTCCAGCCTGGGTGACAAAGTGAAACTCTGACTCCAAAAAAAAAAAAAAAAAAAAAAACTCAAAGTAATAAATGAGATCACAATGTGAACAATACACACAGTTCTAGGATACTACTCAGCTTTCTATTCTTGCTTTAAAAATATAAAGAATGTAATTCCGGCTACTTGGAAGGCTGAGGCGGAAGGATTGCCGGAGCCCAGCAGGTGGAGGCCGCGGTGGCCGGGAGCGGCCACTGCACTCCAGTCTGGGCGACAGAGTGAGACTCCAACTCAAAAAAAAATAAAAAAATAAAAAAAATAAAGAAAACAGCCCCTTTTTCATTTGAAACTTTGAATATTACTCATTAAATTAATAATCAACCATATGCTTAAATTCAAAGTATGACTGAGGCATAGAATTTGACAATGAAGGAGCCTAACCAACCACTCAGCATCCTCATCTCAATGAAACATTAGTATTCTCTACCAATTTCCAAATATATAAAAAAGATTCTCATTTTTTTATACTAGTTATATTCTATAAAGTCACCACAAATTCTAAAAGCAAATAATAAATCATTGCTCCTAAGGGTAATACAGGATTAGGTTCCTACTAGCCTCTGGTCCTAATATTTTTATCAGTCAATAAATAATCTTGTTTTATGTGTGCTTCTGTTTAAAGGCACATTATTTAATATATATTGCTAATTTATTAACACTGAACTCACAGCCAACAGCACTATAACTCAGGTCCAAAGAAAGTTTATCTGATACATGTATTTTCTCTATAAGATTTATCACAGCCTTCTTGTTCTTAGGAACATTATGCTTGGAGGAGAAAAGCATTTTAAAGAGATAAATCACCACCAGAAAGCATAAAAATATGAAAAAAAATGAGGTACTAGATGCAGTGCAAAAAGGATACTTGTTTACAGAACAAGAGCTGAAACAAGAAGGCTGAACACTATCTTGTTCAACCTTAGCTATGAATATGCACACTGGGCAACTGCAATTTTTCATCATTCTGAACATGTCCATGAATGGCCACAAAAGCCGCACGCATTGATTTTGGGGTTACAAATACATTTTAGAAAGTAGGCGAATTCACAGATACAGAATCTATAACCAATAAAGACCAACTGTAATGACTTTTATTAAGTTCCTAAAGGGGCCTGAAAGTCTGTTATGTTTTATTGCTCTTTATGATGAAAAAAATATGTGCTATTTGAAAATGTGGATATCTCAAGGGTCTTCTGTGTACTCATGCATTTGAGCATCAGCATACACATGCACACACTCTTTAACTCCAAAATTATAAAGGCATTAAACATATTTACTCATATATTCGACATATATTTATTGAACAGCTACGTACCTCACATAGTTTTAGGCAATGGAAATACAGAAGTGCCTCACATAGTTTTAGAAAATGAAAATACAGAAGCAAGGAAAATAAAGTAATTCTCTCATGAAACTTACATTTAATGTAAGAAAGATTTTTAAAGATAAAATCAATCAGAAGACAATAAGAGCTATGAAGAAAAATAAGTAAGATAATAGGATAAAGAGTGACAGGCAATATTTTAGTTAGAGTAGCCAAGGAGGAATTCCTTGACTCAACATTTGAACCTAGACCCAAATAAAATGAAGCACTAAGCCATGCAAATACATAAGGGAACATCATTATGTGCAGAAGGAGCAAGTGCAAAAGGCCTTAAGGTATGTGTGCGTGGCACATCAAAGATCATCAAGAAGGTCAATGGGGCTGGAGGGTACTGAAGAAAAAAGAAAATGAATAAGCTAAAATTGAAGTGGTAGCCAAGGGTCAGATTTTTTTAGGCCATGATAAAAGCTCTGTATTAAATTCCCAATGTGACATGAAGGCACTCGTTAATTCCAAGCAAGGGAGTGACAATCCCCACAATTTATATTTTAAGGGATCCTGCATATTGCAAGAAGTTCAGGGTGGCTATAGGAGGACCACCCATGAGGCTACTATAATAAACAAGGTACTAACTGATGAGTAGTAGTATAGGAAGCAGTAAGTAGTGGTCAGATTCATGCTAGAAAAGCTGACAGAATTTGGTGATCAAATGAATAAGAATACAAGAGAAAGAAGTCAAAAATGGCTTGAGCAGCAACCCAGAGCAACTACGCAAATGATACTGCCATTTACTGAAACAAGGAACACTTGGGCAGGAGCCATTTGCACAGAAGAAAGAAATCAGTTCTACATATACCAGAGATGGAACCGATGGGTAGTTTCATCAAGCATGTCTACTCAGATTCCCTGATCTAGCTTGCCAGTATTAGGAAGCTTAAGGCAATAATTTGCTGACTATTTACTAGACATTACAGAGGATTTTGTGAACTAGCTTAGAAATTCCAACATTGTTTACAACATTTTCTTCCTTGAAAAAAAAAGTGTTTCAAGATCAAATAACTTTCTCACTAATAAACTGCTGAAATAAAATCCAATCATAAATGGAGGGCTTTCAATAATCACAGTGAATATGAAACATTTTAAAGTTATTTTACTTGCTGTTCAATGGAGTTCACATAATTTTTATTACCTGTGTAGCTTCATTTCACTTTCTTGATACAGTTCAGTCATTACTTTAAGTTTCTGTTCAAGCTTCTGATTCTCACTTTCAAACTGTGTATTTTCTGACTGTAAAGATGCTTGTTCAGTCTGGAGATTTTTAATATGCTCTACAGAAAATTTTTTAAAGTCATAATTATTATTTATAGGATTCTCAAACCTTCAACATTCTAATTCTAGCATATAAATTTTAATCTGGGAGCTAAAAGTCACCAAAGTTCTCAGGAAGGTTTTAGAGAAAACAGTTTTGAAGGGATATATTTTAGCTTACCATTCCCTGTGAAACTACTTCCACATAATAAAAAATTCCTGTTTTTTTGTTTTGTTTTGTTTTTTTGTTTTTGTTTTTGTTTTTTTGAGTTGGAGTCTCACTCCGTCACCCAGACTGGGGTGCAGTGGCCGCTCCCGGCCTCTGCAGTCTTGACCTGCTGGACTCCGGCGATCCTTCCGCCTCAGCCTTCCGAGTAGCCGGAATTACAGGCATGCGCTACCACGCCCGGCTGATTTTTTGATTTATTGTAGAGATGAGTTCTCGCCAAGTTGCCCAGGCGGGTCTTGAACCAGCAGGCTCAGGCAATCCACTCACCTCAGCCTCCCAAGGCATGGGATTACAGGCTGAGCCACTGAGCCTGGTGAAAAACTCCTGTTTTTATCTAGTAAAAGCTTTAGCCCTGAATAATACCAGTCTTCCCTTTTTAAAACAAACTTTTAATGGATGACCCAGGTAATAAATGCTCAAGAATACTTCTAGTTTAACCCAGAGAAAGACTGGAGAAAAAAATATCAACTTTAGCTTTGTTTCAACTACTAAACCACCTAAAAGAATCATCTATAAAAATGAAAATTAATTATTCTAGATAATTATGAATGCTTTATAATTGGTGCACCAATTGTTTTCAAAAATCTCATTTATTTTCTAACATAATAATCTCAACTCTGAACTCCTCTAAGATTAAAGTACTAAGATAAAAATAGCAACTCCAAACTCTTAAGATTAAGACACTATCACCAATAACATATATGAATCATCACCACAAACATTAATAAAAGACAACACTCACTCTGCCTAAAGAGAAAAGTTTTAAAAATAATATTAATGAACATGAAAATTTTAGTAATTACACGTAATGGTATATCATTATTTTAAAACACCCATTAATTCAATGTATATACCATAAAGATAGTAAGTAAATATCTTAACATTAACTGATTAAACGCACAGGAAATTGTGCATATCTGTCTTTCCACAGAAATTTTTAAATCTACATCAGTAAAAAAATGTGTTGACCTAGGGCCTTAAACCATTGCCAAGAACAATCACTTAACAAAGTAATGTTGTATTGCTATTAAAACTGAATTGTGCTTATTGTAAAAACAAAAACAAAAACAAACTATAAACCAACACTAAATTTTTAATATATTTTATACTTCTACTCTAGCTATTTTGTTTCAAATTTTCTGTGATTTAAAAGACCACTGTAAATAGTTACCAGAAAATGCAGAAATGGTTTATAAGAAAACTTTCACGTTATAAAGAGAAGACAAATTATAGAAATTTATCTTTCATAATCCATTAAAAAAGGAAAGTTAGATCTAGAAGAAAAACACAGGCAGACATAGGGTCTCCAATATTAGTTTAAAAATAAAAATTAGTTTAAAAAATAAAAATTTGCCAAAAACTTGTATTAAAGAATAGGGTAACCGGTAAGAAAATTCCTTGCTACTTTGGCACTTTCTACACACATTTTTTTCATTGAAAGTTTGTTAACATACTAAAATACAGCTTCCTTGAAAGCAAGCTATCTTTTCCTTCTGTGAATCTTCCATGGCTCTTATTACTATGCTTTACCGATAGTAACATTTTTTTTTTTTTGAGTTGGAGTCTCACTCTGTCACCAAGACTGGAGTGCAGTGGCCGCTCCCGGCCACCACAGCCTCGACCTGCTGGGCTCCAGCGATCCTTCCGCCTCAGCCTTCCGAGTAGCCGGAATTACAGGCATGCGCTACCATGCCCGGCTGATTTTTGGATTTATTGTGGAGATGAAGTCTCACTGCCCAGGCGGGTCTTGAACCCGCAGGCTCAGGCAATACACTCACCTCGGCCTCCCAAAGGCAAAGGATTACAGGCTGAGCCACCGAACCCGGCTATAGCAACATTTTTTAAGTTAATGTTTCTCAAAATCCAAAACTAATTCAGCTACCAAACTCAAGTGAGTGGGGCTATCACGATTTTTAAAAACCCCTTTCTTCGATGAAAAGTATTTCAATATTTTAATTTCATGGTATAATGGACACTGGAAACTCAGAAGGGATGTGAGGAGACAAAAAAACCACCTACTGGGTACAGTGTACACAGGTGAGGGTGGTGGGTACATTCATAGCCCAGACCAAAAACTATCTGTACTCCCTAAAGCTATTGAAATAAAAAAATAAATACCCCCTAAAGCTATCAAAATAAAGAAAAAATAAACATATAAAATAAATTAAAAATAGTTTTAAATTTCATATAAGTGGAAAACATTTTTTAATTTTATATAAAAGGAAAATGATATGGCTTTACCACAACAAATCAAGACTATAATTTTTGACAGTCAACAAAAGCAAAAGTAAAAAAAAAAAAAGGATATTCTCAAAATTAATTTTTACTACTCTCTAAAAGAAGATGTACTTACTTAGAAAAACTTTTAAAGTATATAGATTACCTACCTGCAAAATCTTCCTTTGTTTTATCTACTTCAGACAACTGAGTGTAAATTTGGTTTCTTTCTCCTTCTAGAGTTTTTAAAGAAGCATTTAACTTTAAAGAATGGAAGAAGGGAAAGAGCAACATCAATCGGTTATAAAAAGAACACCCCACAAAACCTCACTATACCGCTCCCAACTCTTTTGAAGCTATTTTATCCCTTGATGAAATGACCATCTAGAATGCAGAAATCAATAATGCAGCTTTCATCTCTAAAAGCTAGCAAAGTCATTAATAGTTGTAAATCTCAGAACACAGATTGAGAAAAGCAATGAATGCTTGTCACAGGATGTTTAAACAGTGGCTATTTTATTCTATTTACTGTCAACACTAGTTTTGTCTAAAGCAGCCTTCAAACTACAATACCCAAGATTCCATATAGATCAGCAAAGACCAGGATATCACTACTAGGGTAGAAAAGAAAAGGACTATACCAGAAAAAAAATGAACTTAATATTTACTTCCCAAAATAGAACATGAGGTAAAAGGTATAAGAAAATACTGAGACCAGAAGAAGGAGAATGCACTGAAGGAAGTACGAGATAAAATATAGTAAACATTTTCAATGTATTTCTTATCTGAAAAAATGTGTACAGAACATTAATTTTTTTTGATAAATTCTAAAAATTAACTAGGAATTTCTAAAGTTAATATTTAAAACTAAAAAGCAACTGATGAAAATTCTGAACATTTCTGAAACATATCTATGTGGGAACAATAAAATGGCCTTTTTAAAACTGTTACTAAAGACATATGAGTTCAATCCATGTTCTATTTCTTCCTCTATATTCTTCATATTTACATAATAATACAAACCTTAGCAGCATGAATCAGTTTCTTCAAAGCTCCTTTTGGCTGATTATCTACAGTGAAAAACAAAAACATAACAATGATTTGAGACCATAGTATAATACCACAGCAGACATCCAACTAATTTTATTAGTTCACTAAACCAGAGCCTTATAATCCTTCTTGCTACGGTAAAGAATTTAGTATAAGGTAGAATGGCCTTGGACCTGCTCACAGTAGGCTAATAATAAAAGCACCAAAGTACCAATCACTTAAACAAGGCCCTTCAGCACTAACTCCAAGAACAGAGTTATAATAAGGATTCCGTATTCATCTAAATACAGACCACAAGCTTAACTATTCTTGAATTCTTACAGCATCCAAAACATAAGTAAAATTATAATCCAAATAAAAATAACATTTAAAAAACATGACTTTTCTTAAGTATTTCCTATATGATAAAGTAAAAGTGAAAAAGTACAAACAAGACTATATGAGGGGGACTCAAAAAAAACCCCAAAATTTATTAAAAATGTGTGTATCTATTCTTACATGTTTAAACTTGTCACATTCAAAGCACTCTCCATTTGATGCAATACACCTATCGAGATGCTTTCCACTGCTCAAAACAGTTTTCGAACTTGTTGATTTTGATGCCTTTTAGTGCACCTCTGAAAGGTTTTTTGTTTCACCACTTCCACATTGACAAAATGTTCCCCTTTGAGGACTTTTTTCATCAGAAAAAAAAAAAAAGTCGTTTGGGGCAAGATTGGGTAAATAAAGTGGGTGGGTCACAGGAATCATGCTGTTTTTGGTCAAAAACATGGGAACTCTGTACTGTTTTTCCAGTTTCCTATAAATCTACAATTATTTCAAAATAAAAAGTTTAGCTGGGCTCGGTGGCTCAGCCTGTAATATTGCATCTTGGGAGGCTGAGGTGGGTGGATTGCCTGAGCCCGTGGGTTCGAGACCTGCCTGGGTAACTTGGTGCGATCTCATCTATACAATAAATTTAAAAAATAGCGCGTGCCTGTAGTTCCGGCTACTTGCAAGGCTAAGGCGGAAAGATCGCTGGAGCCCAGCAAGTTGAGGCTGCGGTGGCCGGGAGCAGCCCCTGCACTCCAGTCTGGGTGACAGAGTGAGACTCCAACTCAAAAAAAAAAGTTTTATTATTTTAAGTCAAAGGAATTAATTTGAGAATACATATATATATAAAATTAATTTCAGACAGCAACCAGGAATGACAATAACAATTTGGATGGCTAAGACTACAGTACTGTAACTATCTGAACCATCTGACTAAATCAAAAACAATATCCTCCAGTATTCATTTACATAAGATTCATCTTTCAAACTAGTCACCCATCCATTTGGTTATCTTATAGTACAGGGGAAAGCAGGCATTAAAATTATTATGATGCAATTTTGACAACATATAAAGATATATACAATATATAAAGAAAACAGAGGGGGAAAAGGCTGAAAATCCACCTGAGAAGTTAGAGAAAGATTTACTAAAAAGGTGGCAATCCAGCTAAAGCTAAACTTCTAGGCACAGTGAGAGAGGAGGAGTGTTGTAGACAGAATGTCCCAAAGCAAAAGTGTATAAAGAACACAGTATACATGGGGAACAAAAAAGGAGCTAGTCACCAATTTAGCAAAAGAAAATGAGTCTTGACAATACCTAAGTGAGCACCATTTTCTGATTCACTCTTCAATGTTTCTAATTCCAGGTTAACATCATCTGTTACGTCTTCTTCAAGCACAGCAGCCCAATCTTTCATCTTTAGCAAGCGTTCAGTCAGAGACTGCATTTAGCAAAGGGGAAAAACAAAGAGAGAGGGTAATACTTCATACTAATGGTTTTATAGTACAGCAATAGTTTAAAACCAATCCACATCAATAACAGCGCATGAGCTCTTATTTTTGACCAGTTAAGATATGAAAATAGTGTTTAAAAACTGTAACATTTAATGACTATTAAATTCTGCAAGATAAGAACCAAAACTAGTTATTCCTAAATCAAATACAACATATGTTCATGGCCCATTTTGCTAAATATATCATGCAACTATAAAGCAGTAAGATATTTTCTTATATGCATTTATCACATGTCACAAATAAAAGTGGTCAATAACATGAGAGTAAATTTTGTACAATAGTAAACAAATCTACAGTGAGATACATGATATAAAAAGGTCATAAATTTGGCCAGGCTTGGTGGCTCAGCCTGTAATCCCAGCACTTTGGGAGGCCGAGGCGAGTGGATTGCCTGAGCCAGCGGGTTCGAGACCAGCCTAGGCAACTTGGGGAGACCTCATCTCTACAATAAATAAAAAATTAGCCAGGCATGGTAGCACCGCACCTGTAGTTTTGGTTTCTTGGAAGGTTGAGGCAGAAGGATCGCCAGAGCCCAGCAGGTCAATGCTGGGTTGGCCATGAGCGTGCCATTGCACTCCAGCCTGGGTGACAAAGTGAGACCCCAACTCAAAAAAAAAAAATCATAAGACCATACATATTTACTTGATTTATTCCTCGGTTTGAGGAGTTCAACCGAGATAAAAAGATATTATAAAAAAGAACCCAGTTGGGCTCGGTGGCTCAGCCTGTAATCCCGCGCCTTTGGGAGGCTGAGATGAGTGGATTGCCTGAGCCCGCGGGTTCGAGACTCGCCTGGGCAGCGAGACCTCATCTCTACAATAAAAATCAAAAGAAAATCAGCCGGGCGTGGTAGCACATGCCTGTAATTCCGGCTACTCGGAAGGCTGAGGTGAAAGGATTGCTGGAGCCCAGCAGGCAAGGCTGC